TTATTTCTACACCATAGCTAGTTTACTATTATTGAACAAGTACTGTAGGAGTTGGGGCAAGGGACAGGCTGACTGACCTACATGGAACAAAATACAGAAAGAGATACACCACCAGCATAATATAACACCTAATCCAGCTAGTAGGCAACTCAAGTCACTTGGTTACATGGTACACCATTGTTTCCTTTTCATACAGGGCTCAGTAGCAAGACTAGAACTATTCCTCAAAAGGATAACATTGGCTGCAAAGAGAGCATGATCTTGCTTCAGGATTCTAAAGGACACCTCTCGGGCGCCTGGGTGGCTCAGATGGTTAAGCGTCTGCCTTCAGCTCAGGTCATGATCCCAGGGTCCTGGGATCGAGTCCTGCATCGGGCTCTCTGCTCCTTGGGAGCCTGCTTCTCCCTCTGCCTCTCTCTCTCTCTGTCTCTCATGAATAAATAAATAAAAAATCTTAAAAAAAAAAAAAAAAAAGGACACCTCTCTTTGTTCCTGTTGGGACTTGCAGCTTGTTTTATAGAGTATCCTGATATAACACGGGCACTTCTGTTGCCATTAGATCAGCTGAGTCAGTGAAACCAAGTATAGAGCTGCTTGTGCCACCACTTGAGCTAGCTAGCTGGATAGCCTTTTCTTTTGAGGAGTTAAAGCAGAGCAGGCAACCTTTTGGGGCATTCAGTAAAGTGGGAGCAGCATAAAAAGTCTCACCAAGCACTGTTCCCCATTTGTATTTGAGACTGTGGAGAAAGCGGTTTGTCGTTTACTTTGCTGAGGTATGTCAACAGTCCGTACAGATTAACAGTCCATACAGGGAGACAGGGCCCTCTATTTTCGTGGAATTTATCTTCTGCCTGCTGGCAAACTTAACATCCTTCCTAGGCACCTAAGAGTATATATCTGGTCACTTCTTGCTTTTCAGGTCCTAAAAGCAAATGTAAGCAGTGTACTGGACCATTGTAGTGTTCTGTAGGAGGAGACGATCAGTATCTTTGAAAACGAAATTGGAGTACAGAGGCAAAGAGTGTGGATAACCCTGAGATAAGACTATGAAGTCTCACTACTGTCCCACCCAACTGAATGTGACCCCTTCCCATGTTCTCTATTTTTAAGATAGGGCAGAAAGTGTTTACCAAATCAGCAGATAAATACAAGATGCCAGAGATTGTGAAGGTCTGTTCTAGAAACAGATCACATTTTGGAGATCATTGCAATTGGAGTTACCATCTGAATAAACTTCTACTAAGCTATCTTGACTATTTGCATCTCCAGGTGGGCCAGTTAAATGAGAACAGGAGAGGCATTCCCACTCTCAGCTTGTGGTAGCATTTCTGAGCATTTCCACAGGATGCTGCTTTTGGTTTACTCTTGTTAGACTGCAGAGCCCCTAGGGCCTTCTGATTACTTCTTCCCTATAAGAGCCTTGACTCAGGGAGTAAGGATGAAAGCTGGACTTGCTGAGTGTGTATGTTAAAAATGCCAGGGAGATAACCATTTGGTGGATTTAGGTTCCCACTGGGCCTATCAGAAACAGTTCTCATAATTCTTTTTAATGCTTGAACAATTTTACATAGCATTCATATGTTAGAGTTGTTTATGCTTTTTAAGATCGATAGGCTTGTTGATCTTCTTTTGCTATTCATTTATTCAGTGAAGAATATTAAAGTCCCTCTTCTTGGCCCATTTTTATACTGGCTTGTCTGACTTTTCTCAGAACTAGAAAGTTCTTCATACATTATGGATATTGCTCCTTCTTAGATATGTCTCTACCTTTTGTTTTTAAGCTTTTGATGGTAATTGTATCTTTACTTGCTTATTTCTCTTAAGTTGTACCATTCCAATACATGAAAAGTTATCAATGAAGTTGAATTTCTCATATGTTTATTTGCTTGTTGTAAATTTCGTGGTGACATCTTTCATCCTTTTTGCACTGGACTATTTTTCTGTTATCGATTTGTACGAGTTTTCTCTTTCCTATATTAGGGATATTAACCCCTTTGCTCATCATATGCTGGTGTTTTCTGACACACACACACACACATTATTTCTATATATCTCTAATACAGATACACATTTGCATGTAGCATTAAAAAATTATTTGTGTTGTCAGGTTTGACATATTTTCCTCCATGGTTTTTAGTTTTATATCATGCTTTAGATAATATTCTATCCCTCACTCCAAGATCATAAAGATAAATTTATGTTTATTGTTTCATGTAGCAGTTTAATGGTTTCAACTTTTAATATTTAAAGTAATAGTTGCAGATTTATTTTGCTGTATGAGGTAAGGTAGTTTTCTATTTTAATCCCAAATGGTTAGTCAGTTTTCCTGATGTCACTTATCAAATTATGTTTTTTCTCAACCTAATATGACTTTTTTAAATGACAAGAACCCTCTAGAGATGAGCTAAATGCTCACGCTACAGTTTGCCTTATCAACATACTTACTTTTGAAAATAAAAGCTTTAAACCCCTATAAGGCAGAAAACCTGTTGAGATTCAGAAGGAAATATATAACAGCAAGCAGCCATAAGTTAACCATAGCAAACAAGATTTCTCTGCCTACAAAAGAAAAATCTACTACCCCCCCCACAAAAGGCAACAAGAAGTTCTTTTGAAGCTAGCTGAATGGTTAACAGTTGCTATATGCTATATGATTCCTTTCCAGGATTTATATTTTTCAGCTTCAACTTGAAAACAATGTCATTACATCATCCTCAGTGAACCAAAGTTATCCTGCATTTGGGATACAGTCATTCCCTTGATCCCATAAATAAGTAATGACTATTTAAAAACATTTAAGCTGTATAAATAAACTAGTCATTTAAAATAAAAAGAATGGGGTTGGGGCGCCTGGGTGGCTCAGTCGTTAAGCGTCTGCCTTCGGCTCAGGTCATGATCCCAGGGTCCTGGGATCGAGCCCCACATCGGGCTCCCCGCTCTGCGGGAAGCCTGCTTCTCCCTCTCCCACTCTCCCTGCTTGTGTTCCCTCTCTCACTGTGTCTCTCTCTGTCAAATAAATAAAATCTTAAAAAAAAAAAAAAAAAAGAATGGGGTTGGGGTGCCTGCATGGCTCAGTTGTTAAGCATCTGCCTTCGGCTCAGGTCATGATCCCAGGGTCCTGGGATCGAGCCCCGCATCAGGCTCTCTGCTCCGCAGGAAGCCTGCTTCTCCCTCTCCCGCTCCCCCTGCTTGTGTTCCCTCTCTCGCTGTGTCTCTCTCTGTCAAATAAATAAATAAAATCTTTTAAAAAATAAAATAAAAAGAATGGGTCAGTTGGATCATTTTTCTCTAGTTCTTGGAAATGTACAAAGTCTTTACTTTGAAGATGGATATTCAGCTTCTACTTGACATTTTACTTGTCTGCATACATGCATAAAGCTATAGGACCTCCCCATTGGTGAAAGAATAACCTTTTTATAAAAACTGCAGTGTTTATAGACTTTGGATTGTGAGCTTAGCCTGAAGTTTAACTCTTGACTTTTAATTTTAAGTATAGTGCAGTGAACTTTTTATATACCCTTCACCTGGGTTCACCGGTTGACATTTTTCCATTTTTGTTTTGTATCTCTCTCCAAATTCGAATTTCAAAATCATATTCAAGTGTCTTCAGTAGCCCCACATGTGTTTTAGAGCATTTTTTCCCTTCTTTTTTTCCCCCTTTTTTTTCATTTTTTTCCTTCTGATTTAGAATCCGGATTAGTCCAAAATCCTACATCGCTTTTGGGTATTTTAGTAATTTGGGTGCTTTAGTTCTTTAATTTGGAAAGCTCCCCTGCTTTGTCTTTTTTTTTTCCTTTTCATGATATTGACATTTTTAAAAACTCAGATTATCCTGCAGTCTAGATTGGTCTGTTTCTTCTCCCCTCATGATTAGATTCAGGTTAAACATTTTGGGGAAAAAAAAATATATGTAGATCACATTGTGACTTTCTCATTGCATCATGTCAGGAAGCTCATCATGCCAGTTTGTCTCATTGTTGCTGCTAAATTTGATTATTTGTTCTGGGATGCCTGGGTGGCTCAGTCAGTTAAGCATAGGATTGACTCTTGACTTCGGCTCAGGTCATGATCTCAGGGTTGTGAGATCGAGCCCTGAATCAGGCTCTATGCTGGGCATGGAACCTGCTTAAGACTCTCTCTCCCTCCTCCCCCACCACGCACACACACTCTTGCTCTCTCCCTCTCTCTCTAAAATTAAAAACAAAAAAAATTGATCATTTGTGGGGTTTTTTTTTAAGATTTATTTATTGGAGAGAGAGTGAGCACACGTGCACACATGGGGAAGGTAGAGGGAGAAAAGCAAACTCTGCACTGAGCAGGGAGCCCAACTCTGGGCTCCATCTCAGGACCCTGAGATCATGACCTGAGCTGAAATCAGGAGTCCGATGCTTAACCAGCTGAGCCACCTAAGGTGCCCTGATCATTTGTTTTAAGCAACAAATTTATCCAAGGTGAAGTTAGTTCTTTTATTAATGTCATCCATGTGGTGATAATTTCAGATTCTGTGAATGTTCTCTGGTTTCAGCATCCTCTGTTGGCATTGCCTGGATCCATTATTACATGGAAAATTACAAATGTTTCATCTTTATTATTCCTCCTTTGTTTATTAACAGTCATTCGTTCACTTTGTATTCCACTGATTCATGTAAAGTTACAATTATTTTCCTCACAGTTTTATGCCAGTAGAGTTAAGTGAAGGTCCATGTGCCATTGTTGTAAATGTTCTGAGGAGCTAGAGAGGAAAATAATATTTTTGGATCATAAGTGCAGTTTCACATGTTTACATCCCCACACAATTTCCTCTTGAAAATTAATTCATTATTGTAACTAATTAGATTTAAATAAACCACTTATTCTTCATTTTTTTCTCATTTAACATTTTCTATATTATCTCTCTGGTTTTTTTTTCTAATTTTCCAATTGCCTGTATTAATTTCTAACTTAATTTCTGTTGCCCTAACATTTATAACAATTATACATTTATCTTTTCATCATAATAGCTGTGGAAATACAGAGGAGTCTGAATCAACTTGGAACGCCTCAAGATTCACCTGAACTGAGACAACAGCTGTAAGTATTTAATAATTAAAAAAAAGGAAAAAAATCACTTATTGTTATGTTGCTTTGATGGTATGTAGTGTTAGGTTTACTGGAGAAACAATGGAGATTAATAAGATTTTTCAGCTCCTTTATTTGTACCAACCTATTGTGTAGGTTTTTCCCTGTTCAGGGTAGGCAGATATTTTTCTTTATTTTCAAGAGCTGGCTCGCTCTAGCAAAGCAGAACTTTGTTAGTTGCCTTTCTTATACTTATTGAATAGGTCGGGTTTTTTTGTTTTTTTTGTTTTTTTAAGATTTTATTTATTTATTTGACAGAGAGAGACACAGCGAGAGAGGGAACACAAGCAGGGGGAGTGGGAAAGGGAGAAGCAGGCTTCCCGCGGAGCAGGGAGCCCGATGCCGGGCTCGATCCTAGGACCCTGGGACCATGACCTGAGCGGAAGTCAGACGCTTAACGACTGAGCCACCCAGGCGCCCCTGAATAGGTCGTTTTGGTGGCTTTTGAAAAATGATCTAAGCTTCTCTATTTATGTGATTTACTTCCCATAGCTAACAATTGCTTCAGTGACTAGATTTTTATTTGGTTTAGATTCCAGTCCATACTCAATATGAATTGCTATCCCTAAAAAACTTGTACCTAAATCTTTGAATTTCAGAAAGCATTAGCCTTTGTTTAAGGGGAAAAAAAGTTCTAGTGAAGTTCTGTAGTACATGTTTCAGGAAATTAATATGCTGTTAGAAGAACAACAGTAATACTTTGTGGTGTTACAGATTTTACAGTGTTTTTGCACATTTTCTCATCTGAATCTTTCTCATCTGGAGTAAAATACGTAGATCAAAACAATTATTTTCGGGATGCCTGGGTGGCTCAGTCGTTGAGCGCCTGCCTTCAGCTCAGGTCGTGGTTCCGGCCGGGGTCCTAGGATGGAGCCCCACATCGGGCTCCTGCTCAAGGATCATTCAGTGCTGTTACAGCCATATTTGAAGTAACATGCATGTAGTAAGTGATATTCCACACAGTGTTAGCTATACAAGGAAACATTACAAAGAGGAAGAAATTAAAAGTTAGGTGATGGGAATTCATGTTTTTTATGAAGTACATTTTGAAGAATTTATAGTTATGTCTAATTTATACTGACTTTTTTTTCCAGTGGAGAGATATTGAGGTGGTAAAAAATGCCCCAACTGTAAATAATAAACCATAAACTAAAATGGAATAGAGGGGCACCTGGGTGGCTCTGTCAGTTAAGCTTCTGACTCTTGATTTCGGTTCAGGTCTTGATCTCAGAGTCATGAGATCAAGCCCCAAGTCGGGCTCCCCACTTAGTGTGGAGTCTGCTTCCCTCCCCATCCTTCTGCTCCCCTCTCACCTTCTGCACACTTTCTCTGTTTCTGATAAATAAATAAATCTTTAAGAAAAACTAAAATGGAATAGAAACATAATTATTAATAGATACAATATTTTGCTAAGGTTAGTAGTGGAGATTGTGAGTCGGTAGATATCAATAAAGTCTTCTTTTCAATTAATTAAAGAAATTTAGCTATCTTACATTTTCTAAAGATTTTAAAGGGCATCTTAAAGGTAAGGTACTTGAGAAATAGACAAAAGTAGGTTATAATTCTTCCTTCTCAAATAAAGGTATCTATACTTAAAAATACTATTATACAATATCTCATTATTTTAAAGGATCCCAAGTGTGACTAATAGGTGTTAAAAATGAGAGATAATGTATTTGAGAAGTACTGATGTAATTTGTAAAGCATCACATTAATATTAACTATTTTTTAGAGTAAAGTTCTTTAGTTAAAAATCTGACTTTTGGGGATGCCTGGGTGGCTCGGTTGGGCGTCTGCTTTTGGCTCTGGTCATGATCCCAGGGTCCTGGGATCAAGTCCCACATCGGGCTCCTTGCTTGGCGAGGAGTCTGTTTCTCCCTCTGCCTGCCACTCGCCCTGTTTGTGCGTGCACGCTCTCTCTCTCTCTAGCTCTATCTCTGACAAATAAATCTTTAAAAAAAAATCTGACTTTTTACTTTATAAGCTGGCTAGCAAGACAGATACAGATACTGATATAATTTACTTCTTATATTGTGTTCTTCCTCTTTACAGAGAAATGGTATTATTTTTTCCACAGCAAACTTGAAAAATAGTAAATGCATATTACTGTTAATTACCTCTTCCCCCACCCCCTTTTTTTAAGTATCTATAAGGTTATAAATGTCCAGATAGAGAAAGAGGAGAGGCTACCTGTACCCCAAGCCCTGGGAATTGGATGAAGGCTCAGGTGACAAATCCTCTTCATTTATTCAACTGACCTCCCAATTGTGGAATGCAGACAAAAGGCTCCCACCACCCCACCCCCATATCTAAAGCATCAGACATCCCACAGTCTGGCTTTGGCTCGAGTCATCTTCCTTTCTTAATGGCTGCTGAGATTTATTTCTCAAAGCTTGGTTGCCCCGTGTGAGTAAAGACCTTTCCATGTAATATTTGCTCAATATTTATAAAAAAAATAGAATTTGGAATTTTTTTTTTTTTTTCTAAGTAGGCTCCACGCCCAATGTGGGGCTTGAACTCACAACCGTGAGATTAAGAGTCACATGTTCTACCAACAGAGCCAGCCAGGTGCCCTGAATATTTTGTTTTCATAGAGAAAATTTAGAGCCAGTCTATAAAATAGTGATTTTTATCAAATTATTCATCAACTGGCAGAGTTGTAACTTAAAGAAATCTCTTCGTTCTTTTGATATAACATGTGTTTTCTCACTTTAGGCAACAGAAGCAGCAGTATACTAACCAACTTGCCAAAGAAACGGATAAGTACATTAAAGAGTTTGGATCTCTGCCCACCACCCCCAGTGAACAGGTATCAAGCCTTAAGACACATTGTTGATGTATTGAATGTGAAAGAAATCACATACATTGTAGGGTCTTTGAACTGTTATGCTGGAAAGGAAATTAAGGGGGAAAAATTGTATTTGAGATTAGTTCACAGAACACAAAACTATATTTAATTGCCCAGGTAGTATCCTGCGGTTCAATAAAGCAAAAATTATTTCCATGCAGTTGCCCTGACCCATAATTAAGCAAGTGCTCAGAAAATGCTTCCTGAGTAATTGTTTCCTGGCCTTCCAGAGCTGACTCCATGTGACATGCACACTCATTCAGGATGTGAGATTTCCTAGGGGCACATATTTATTTCCTTGCTTATTATTTAGCAGAAGTTATTACTTAGGTAAGAGTACAAGGTTTTATTTTCCTAAAAAGAAAACAAAAAGAACTACTTAAAAATAATCTCAAAATCATGGCCCAGTTTTTAGGATGAAAATTTGAGGTGAAAAATCCAGCATTATGAACATTTTGCCTCAAGATGGTAAATATACATAGCATTTGAACATGTTGTCAAAATGTTATTGAGATTTAATCAGTAGGGCCCCGTAATTGGAGAGTGAGTGAGAATTTCAGAATAAAATGAAGAGCCAGCTAGTGGTGAAACAACTTTCACGAATTCTATAGAACTTCACAGCTTGATTCTAGTAGGTTTCTCCCCCTTTCCTCTAGCGTCAAAGGAAAATACAGAAGGATCGCTTGGTGGCTGAATTCACAACATCACTGACAAACTTTCAAAAGGTCCAGAGGCAAGCTGCAGAGAAAGAGAAAGAGTTTGTTGCTCGAGTAAGAGCCAGTTCCAGAGTATCTGTAAGTATTTAAACAAGGCATTATAAAGTGAATCTGATGTTCCTTTGAAAGACTACATTAGCATTTTTCTAAGTCATAAGGATCTGTGACTATCTTGGCAGTCAGTATTTGAATATTTATTTTCAGGTTTTTCTGCTCAATTTTAAGAAGGATGATAGTTATGTATTGCTGTGATTATTTTGTCCATGTCATGGAACCAAAGATTACAGATGATTATATAAAAATTTGGAAGCATTTTGTCAGAAAGACTAGGGGTCAGACCTGAGTTATAGTCCCGCATTGATTTGTACTAGAGGCCATCACGTTCTGTCAGGGCTCATGTAGGGAACACTTTACTCCTGGGTCATATGAAGAGGACAGGAATGAACAGTCAGTATGTTGTGTGGATACTGAAAATGAATATAAGCCTGGGGAAAATAAAAGGAAAACTTAAAGTGGAATTTTGAGTTAATCTAATTTTAAATTCCCTTCAAAACTATTGCAAGTTGTTTCCTTGTTCCTTAAGGTAGAGGCTCCAGGACTATAGTACATTTTAATCAAGTAATATTAATTATTTGGCCCTTGAGAATATTTAATGAATTCCTTCCTTGTCAGCTTAGGATACAATTTTATTATTACTCGAAGCACTTGACCTAGAAAATGAGAACAAAAAGATTTCTCTTTCTCTCCACACACACGCACACATGTGCGTGCACATGCGTACATAAATCAGTTTAGATTATTATAAGAGAAAATGTGAGTTTTGGTGTTTTTTCTTTGCCCCTTCTCAGTCCATTCTATTACTAAATTATTCAGGGTGGTTTTCCTGAGGACAGCTCAAAGGAAAGGAATCTTGTATCCTGGGAAAGGTAAGAAATACAAAACATACAGATCAAAAGATAATTTTGCAAATGTACTTTTTTGTATAAATATATTTATACATTATGATCCCTGCAGCAGAATGAAAGTTTTCAGTTTATTATATCATGACTGTCCTAAGTTATTTATAAATAGAAAGCAATAAATTTGAAATTTTTTCAAAATAATTATTTATAACGTCTACATATATATAAAATATTCCAATGTAGCAGTAATACTTTGTAAATAATTATTTACCAAGTAAATATGATTGACTTAATTATTATTTGATGGAGATTATTTCCTCCCGTGACGTTTAAGTCAACCAAAAAGAAATACCCAGTTGCCAAATATAGCTTCCAATAATTAAATAATAACTCTAAAAAAAAAAATCAATGAAATGAAACATGAATAGTTTAATATTTCTGTTATAATCTTAAAATTGAAGAATATAAGAAGTTGAAGCAATTCTCTGACTTTGAAGAAAAGATATTCTGTTTCATGTTTCTTAAATAAGGAAAGAAGTCCCATTAATTTAATACCATTCCTTTTTTTTTTTTTTCCATGTTCTGTTCTGTCTGTTAGCCAAGCTCAACCTCAGGTGCAGGTGCAGGATGAAGAAATTACAGAGGATGACCTCCGCCTTATTCAGGAGAGAGAATCTTCTATTAGGCAGCTTGAAGTAAGCTTGACGTGGCAGTTGGATGGCTGCTCTGTTCTCAGCGTGTTTGTCCTCAAGATGCTTAGACAATTCTGGGGGAGGGGCCTGAGAAAGAAAACTAAATATATCAATGTGGTGGCCTTTCGTGTAAATGAGAATAATTCCCTTTTTTTAAATAAATCTCGTTAGAATTCGTGCTAAAATGAGAGAACATACCTCCCTCATCTCCTACTTTTTGTTTTTTATCCTGTCAGATCATCTCAGGTCCTTAGCATGGAGAAAAACTCAGTCCAGACAGGTCTGCTCAGGGAGTCTGGACGACTTCTGGAACACATGATACACCTCAGAGCCGCATGAATAAGACTTGACAGGGGCTGTACGAGTATTTTATTTCTCTGTAGTATGTTCATGACGTCAAAGAGATCTGAAGGGTTTAGTAAGCCTTAGTTCTTATGGAACCTACCTATTCCCTAGAAGACTGGCTAATAGCTCACCATAGCTGCAATTTATTGAGGGTTTTTAAGCACCATGTGATAAATTCTTTGCATTATCTCATTTAGTTCTCATAAAAACCATGAAGTAGTTAACTGTGTCATCATCATCACCATTTTATAGGTGGGAAAACTAAGGCACAGGATGAATATGTAAATTGTCCCCCCCATAGACTATTTAAACTTAACTTTTTAATCAGGCAAAATAATAGTTATCATATATTAAAGAAAAGTAAAGTTATAACTTGTTCATTGCTATTCCATTGCATAATCAAACTTACTAATGTGAGACTTAAAATTTATACCTAATGTTTTATACTTTTATAATGTCAAATTGTTGTAAGTTTTTACTAGGAATAAATCATAACAATGATATTTTATACTCTTATGAGGTAATACTGCTAGTGATAACAAAACTATCAGATTATATCAACATAAACTCAGTGACCCAGGGCACTTCTCTGTTAATAGATTCCTGGTGTCCATGTGCCTCGCTTGGTATTTTTAGTGTCACAAACTTACCTTTAGAACTGGTTACAGTCATTCAAGGTCATCTTACTTAGGATTGCCTCTAGTCATATAGTTTCCTGATATTTCCAAAATTTCTGTATTAAGCCTAGATGCATTCTCACTTGTGTCTAAGTGGTGGTTTGGGGTTTTGTTTGTTTTCTGTTTTTTGGTGTTTGTTTGTTTTTTTTTAATTTTTCCCCTTTGTGGATTGAGGGCTGAATTTCTGATTATAGTAACACATGCCTTTTTCTCTCAGGCTGATATTATGGATATCAATGAAATATTTAAAGATTTGGGAATGATGATCCACGAACAAGGAGATGTGATAGGTAAGCCCCACTGGGGTGGGAGAAAGCTACACGCAGTTTACCTGCAGGAACCTCTCAAGCAAGAGTAACCCCTGTGTCTCTGGGACCCCCTGGAATTAAAAGCACAGCCTCTACCAATAGACAAAGCATCACCCTTGGCATTATCTAAAACAGATCTCATCTTTGGCTCCCACTGATTGAATCAACTGGCTTCATTTATTTCTGAAGCCCCACATCTCACCAGAGCCTGCTGCTGCTGAGACCGTGGAGCCAGCCTCTAGTCTCACTGCTGCCTGTTTGCCAGACCCCTGGTTTCCATCTCAACCCCACTAATTCTCATCACACCAAGCACTTTCTGGGAAACCTGTGCTCTTTATAATACCTTGTCTTTTAGATCAGAGGGAATAGGTAGCCGTTTGCCTGATTATTTATTCCAGTGTCTTTTCGGTACATTAATTTAGTGGTATTACTTAGATGCGAAGCATTCTTTTACAAATTCTTTAAAAAAAAAATCAGTGGCTAAGACTCCCTGAAAGTTTAAATGTAATAGCTCTTCAGGTAACGTGTAACTGCCAGCACTGATCAGTGTCCTGATCATTTTTATCATTTAGAAATATGAAGCTATCAGTGGATGTGGCTAAAGATCGATTTCATATATTTTCTGATTTTGGTTCATTGAAATACTTGGAACTATATTTTACTATAGCTATTATTTGTCCATTCTTACCCTTCTCTGTAGCCACAGTAGATAATGGGGTAAAATTTCAAAAACCAATTCATTCATTCATCCAGTAAACATTTATTGAGTGCCTGCTATGTCCGGGCACAAATCTAGGCACTGGGGATTTAGCTGAAATTAAACAAGAGGTAGAAGGCCCTGCCTTCATGAATCTTACAATCTAATTGGAGGAGAGAGAATTTTTGTAAAAGGAAAGAAAAGTAAGTAAATGCTGATAAGTGCTCTCGGGAAAATAAGGCAGGTAGTAGGATGGGGCTACTGGTGGTGGGGAATGTTACTACTTCACTAGGGTGGTCAAGGAAGACCTTACTGATAAGTAACATTTTAGTGAAGACTTCATGGAATTAAGGGAGCAAGTGAAAGAAAATTTTCCAGGTAGAGCAAAGGGCAAGTGCAAAGGCCTTCAGGCAGAAGCACATCTGATGTTTTTGGTGAGTGAAATGAGCAAGAGGGAGATGGAGATAACATCAGAGGTCATAAAGTTTGACATCATGTAGGGCGCTGAGCCCTTGTGAGGACTTGCATTACTATTAACGGATGGGAAGCCACAGGAGAATTTGAGCAGAGGAGTGTTATCATTCGACTTAAGTTTTAATAGATTCACTTTGGCTGCTAGGTTGAGAGCAGACCATAAAGGGACAAGACCAGAAGCAAAGAGACCCCTTCCAAGGTGATGGCAGGAATCGGGGTGGGCAGTTGCCTCAGATCAGGATGGAAGCAGCGAATTGGTGAGAAGCGGTGGAATTCTAGATAGCTTTAAAATGTAGAACCAAAAAGATTTGTTGACTTGGCTGGATGTGGGTGTGAGAGAGAATGAATTCAAGGACAACTCGTAAGGTTTGGGGCAAGCCCAGGGAAACGATGAGGTTGCCATTTTCTAAGCTGGGTCAGTCTGGAACTGGAGCGGGTTTAGAGGGATGGAGATCGACAATTTTGGGATATGTTAAGTGTGAGGTGCCAGTTGAAATGAAGGAGGCTTGCTTGGCAGTCACAAATTCGAAGTGAAAGAAATCAATGTCGGTTATTTTTTTTTGTACCCATGTGCAGCTGTGAGGGTGCAGGTTGAGGTGTTGTCACATAAGTCTGACTGAGGTAGGTGGCAAGGGAGCAGAGGGTGAATGCGAGAAGTATGGCTCAGTGGTGGCCCGGGGGATCTAAGCTGGATCAGGAGGAAGGTGAGGGCACGGAGTGTGTTGAGGGGCAGTGAAACAGTGGTAGGTCAGTGACGTTGGGGTGTTGGAAGGAGAGTGCTAGACAGGTAGCAGGTGATGCTCAGAGAGTGAGGTTTGAAACTGAGTTTATAGAGAAGCTGCAGTTACCAGTAGTGACGAGGCTTGGGATATGATCATGGAGGTGGGTGGCTGGGAAGGGGAAACAGGCAAAGTCATTGAAAAAGTATGGTCAAGGCATGGAGAAGGCAGGTGTTAGCAGGTCAGCAGTTGGCTTCTGAAATTGCCATTTTGTAAAAGAGAAGCATTGAAGGGTCCATCGGCGAATCCAGGGCTAAAATATTCAAAGAATGAAGGAAAGACCATGAGGTCTATAAATGTCTGCTACGGGGGGTTGGATGCATTTGCAAGCATGAGCTGTAAGCTGAGTGTTGGTGGGGAGAAGGGGGAGGCCATGGTCTCAGGCTGCGGGGGCCACTGGTTCCACCTCTAGGCCAGAGCAGCGAGGGAGGGGAAACTGTTGCCACGTGAGAAGGCTGCCTGAGCCCTCAGGGAGGGCTGGGTTTTAGCTCGGAAGGAGGAGGTTGACTGATGGTTTTCAATACTCTGTTGACTCTCAGGAACAGTTGTTAGATGTTCGGTGCTGCCTTGACCATCAGAGCACACAAACTCCCTAGTACTTTTCAGGGGTTACCAGGTAGAACAGGAATTGTGTCGTAATGAGGATGATCCAGTTTCTTTTCAAATATCTGTGTGTTGTTTGGATCATTTGAGAAATAGTGTAAAGAAGACTCTGAGCCAGTTTAAAAAGAAATTCAACTTTGCCCATATACTACCAGTGTTAACATTTGAATAGTGAACATGTTTGGTCTTATGTTGCATGAAGTCTTGTGATTTAAGCAGCTGTCTTACTGGAGCATCAACACACGTTGTGTGTGTGTGTGTGTGTGTTTTATTTTAAAGACAGCATAGAAGCCAATGTGGAGAATGCAGACGTGCACGTTCAGCAAGCAAACCAACAGCTGTCAAGGGCAGCAGAATATCAGGTAATACTAACCGCAGTGAGTTATCTTGTAACTTAGGCTTTCCAGTCTGTGTGTGTGTGTGTGTGTGTGTGAGAGAGAGAGAAAGATTGATCAGGTACAAGGTGGCTGGAGATGTTAAAATTTAAAATCCCATGGAAGACAGGTCCAGATATCTGCCAGTCTGTTTAAAACTGGGGTTAGCCTGTTTCCTGTTTATTCTCAGGGTCGAACAGAATTGTGGCCCCCAGGGATAGGAAGTTCAGTGTTTAGAGTCCTGAGGGATGCAGTAGATAGACAACTCCAGGCATTTCTGACAGCTGGAGGTCTCTGATGCTGTTGTGACCTTCCAAACCAGAAACCTCTTTGATAACTTTCTTCCCCTGTGTCTCTCACTGTTTCCGTCCACCTTTTCTTTCTTTTTTGTCTGTGGCACTCTGCAGTAAGAAGGCAAAGATCTTTGCTCTAGAGAGTTCTCATCAAGTCCTATGGAAATTATATTCCCTTGGAGTGCCCTTGATCACTGGGTATTGTCAGCATTCAGCAGACCCTTCACCAGGAATGAATTGATTTCTTCAGTGGATCAGGTTAATATAGGGAGTCTGTATATGTGACAGATATGAAGCACATCAGAGTACTACACAGATATTAGGACCGTGAACTATGAATATATCATATGATATATAGACAATAAAAATGAGGCCAGGCTCTTTGGGAACCCCTAAATACCACCATAGCATTTGATTTCCCTCTTAAAATTCCACTTTTTGTTGTTGTTCATAATTATCTTCTCAGACCGTGTTGCCTTCTTCTAAAATACCTAAGATATTATCACAGTCTTAGATATTTTCAATTGCTTTTTGCTTTTCTAACCAACCTCAGAAGTCCCCTTTCATTTCAGTGCCGTTTTTCACTAGACAAATCACTGCATACTTAGTGATATATAGAGAACAGTAAAGCTATATGAAGATTGCTGAGTTACAGCCAACTGTACTCAGTGATGTAGTAACTCTAACTTGCCTTTACCTTCTGTGCATGTGATTCAGGTATGCAGCTCAGTAGAATTACTGTCACACGTAGGTATCATTCATGAACACGTGCACACACACACGATAATCTATAAATGCCAACAGTTACTCAAACGTAGTGTTTAGCAAGATTTATCAGCAACTAGGTTTACATGTTATTTTGTTTTGCTTTTGGGTTCTGGAGGGATGTAGATATATCTCCCAAGTTTTACTTTTCCCCTCTTTGGGAAGGGTAGACGCTACAGCCACCCTGGGAGAAAGGAGCACATCTTCCCAAGCCATACCTCCATATCTAGAGCTGCCCCGTACTTAATTCCATGGGCCCTGGAGGGATGAGGGAAGAGCCGTACAACATCAGTGCTGAGGAAAAAAGCAGCTTCCCTGTAGTTCTCCTTGGAAACCTTGATATTAAAGTCTTGCCTCTGCAAAATATGGTGCTTCTTAATAGTTTGGGTGAACCATGAGTGTAGGGGAAGCTGATCAGTACTCATCATTGCAGTACCCTGGAACCTCCCCATCCCACACTAGGGAGGGTGCCCTGGGCCACAGATAGCCTGTGGGGGAAGCCTGTGATTATTCTTACAGGTATATTACACATGTGTCTATGGTACTCAAGTGGAGTCTGGGGAAAATATGTAGGCAAGATGAGACTGAAACTCTAGAGAAGTCATACTTCACGTAAGGAGGAGTATTCAGTTGAAAAAATTGCTGAATATGTGGTATACTGAAAGTCATCATAGTTTTCAGGAGAATTTCAGAGTCGGAAACCTGTCTTTCTGTAAATTTTATGGTACTACTAGTTGACAAAGAAAATTTACAAACTTTTCAACCTTGTAAGAAAAAAGTTCTGGGGCGCCTGGGTTGCTCAGTCGGTTGAGCGTCTGCCTCCGGCTCAGGTCATGATCCCAGGGTTCCCCTTGTTAGGCTCCCTGCTCAGTGGGGAGCCTGCTTCTCCCTCTCCCTCTGTCCCTCCCCCTGCTTGTGCTCTCTTTTGCTCTCTTTCTCTCTGTCAAATAAATAAATAAAATCTTTAAAAGAAAAAGAGAAAGGATTCCTGCATGTTGCTATGAGATATGCAAGCCATTAAAGAAATAGGAAATCTATAGCTGGGCCAGAATGAAGAATGGAACAAAACTCTTAACCTCTATAATTTAAATGACTGCATTACGATTTTTTAGCTCTTTGTTTTTTATGTGTATGTTGAGATTTTTAAATGCAGTTTCCACTAATATTAAAAGAATGGGAATTTTGGAAACTAGTAAATTTACTTCAGGAGAAATTGCCAAGCATTTACACTTGCTGATATTTTCAGAGAACTCATTTTGAAGAGCAGCTCTTTGATAAAAGTTAGCTTTTAAGCTGTTCTTAGTTTTTATACATAGGACTACCTCAGTCTGTTGCTTAAGTCAGTAACTTTCATTTCTCTGTGTCTCCTTTTTTAAGCCCAACCACACTCAGAAATATGACCACAAAAGTTGAATAATTAGCCCCCGAATTATGTCATTAATTCAAGAAGACTTTTCTTGAAAGAATAGTGCCACTTGTATTTGAAGAGATTTTTGAGAAGCAAAAAAATACAGCCAAATATTTGAGGGCAGTTAATTACTATTGATTTTACTCTAGAAATGAAGCAAGTGATTTTCAATTGCTATAGAGATGCTTCAATACATCTGTAAACATGGTTTTTGTTTTTGCATCTGCAGCGCAAATCCAGAAAAACCCTGTGCATCATCATTTTTATCATTGTCGTTGGAGTTGTAATTCTCGGTCTCATCATATGGAAAGTGAAAAGCTAAATTATAAAGGAGCACCCTATTGCACTACATTCTCTAAATTATGTAGGAGGATTCCTGTAATCATGGTTTTTTTTTATTATTATTTTAAAGATACTCCATAAAGGATGGCTCCCATACTTTGTTATTTTCATTTGGGGGGGGCAGTTTCCTTTGGATTCAATCTGATATTTTCTAACACTGAAAGTTTTTCTCAGTATGACTGCTGGCATTATTTCCATGCTTTTCGATCTAATAACTGTGAGGTTTTGTCCACGTTGTATATGCCTTTCATTTATAATTTATTTACCTGTTGACTTAGCTCTTGGAATTAGTAAATGTAAAGGTGTGCGTGTGTTCCATGTGCATCTGTCTCTGACAGAGTGATGTGCACTCAGAGTTGTGTTCCTTCAATTAAAAATCTCAAATTTAGTTTTGATTTGAGCCAGCAGAGGAAATACTCTCAATAACTTAAAAAAAAATTATCGTACCTGTTTGTGGTGTGTTTTTTTTTTTTTCTTGGTTCATAGCAGCACAAATTATTTAACTTTTCTTGTTGGTTTTCTCTTAAGACCTTTGTTTACTCTAAATGAAATCGGTGAATAATTTCCTAGAGTATCTCATACTCCCGACGTGTACATATTAAGCATTTGCTGTAGATTGCCTAGTAAAATACTAAGGATAGATTGTTTTTACATAGGCCCTGTTTAAGTCTGGTGTTTGCTGGGGTATGTGTAGTCACTGTAAATGTTTAATGTAATTTGAACAAAGAGTATGAAAAATCAGTATCTATCGCGTTAGAAATCTGAAGATCCCAACTTATTTTGCTGTGTCCTTCCACAGCTATTACTGTGGAAAATTAATTATCTTCCCTTAAGTCCTTTAGAATAATGGCTACATGTGTATCCTTGGGTCAGAATTACTTTGGGGGAGCAACTTTCCCAGAATTACTGTTTTTGAGCACTAACACTTAAAATTTAGTGTTTACCATTGCATACCATTTTATAACACCCTTCATTAGAAAACAATTTGGATGTTTGCCAATTAACTCACTTGCTTTTTTTAAATCAATGTTGTTTTAATGCACTAATCTGAGTACTATAAAGAGGATTATCTTAGTTAATAGTTTGTATTTTATAACGTTCTTATATAGCAGTTTGATAGTGAAGTCAGTGTTTTACATGGCAAAGCTATGAGACTTCAAATGGGAACAAATAAAATGTTAACTAAGTAAACTGTATCTTTGCAAACAAAATAAAGATGATTTTAAAAGTGTCTGGATAGTTCTGTGTCATGAGGACTCTGCTTCTGTGGGAGCAACACTTGACATAATCACACAGCAGCCCTTCTTTCTGGAGTACTGGTTTATTCAGTGTTTTAGTTTAGCAGTCTTAAAATGCATGTCAGCAAAATGCCATTTTTTTTTTTTTTTCTCCATAAGAGACCGTAGAAAATTTTCTTGTGAGTGAGTGAGTGGAAACTTTGAGACTTTGTGTTTACCAAATCAGTTTGCTTTAGTGAACAGGATGGGCCAGGCAGGGAGAGGAATTTATACAAATACTACCTGTGCCGAGATCAATGCAAGCCCATCAGGCCTGATTGAGCATATTCTTTCTCTATAAGAGCACCGAGAAACGTGTGACAAACTGGTATCTTCTGGCTACATAAAACTCCCACGGCTCCCACAAATCAGTTCAATTTTTTTTTTTTTTTTTTTTTTGCACAGTTGTACTTGATAAAATGTTTATTCTCATAGAGGCAAAAGTACTTACCCTATTCGCTTCATGATGAGTTCCCAGTAATAGCAAAACCACTTAATTTTTTTTTTTTTGCGTGATTTTAGCACCTTCATTTGATGTGTAGTATTTTATGAATTATTTTACCTGGGACACAGATCAGTGATTAAAAACAGGAACCTTAGTGGCTTGGATTCTTTTAAGAAACATAATGATTTTTTTTTTTAAAGATTTTATTTATTTATTTATTTATTTGAGAGAGAGAGAATGAGAGACAGCATGAGAGGGAGGAGGGTCAGAGGGAGAAGCAGACTCCCTGCTGAGCAGGGAGCCCGATGCGGGACTCGATCCCGGGACTCCAGGATCATGACCTGAGCCGAAGGCAGCCGCTTAACCAACTGAGCCACCCAGGCGCCCGAAACATAATGATTTTTGAGGGAAATTTTTACCCCAAAATATTTGGAACTCAAAGAGTAGTCTTGATTTGAAAAAAATCAAAGGAGAAACATAGCACAACAGCCAAGGTTTTCAAGTTCTCGAAGTTTTCCTTCAGGTTAGTCTTAGAATCACATTGAAAGGTGAAGCTCACACTATGGAAAATAAAATTGAAGTTGTTTTTATGACAGCATATTTGAATCAGTCCACATGCGTCTCAAACTGAAGAAGTTTCCTCATCAGGTGGCACATTATTGTTCATTTTAGCAGGCTCCAAAGACATTCTCGAATGGCGCAGATTGAGATCAACCAGCCACTGTGCAGAAATTGAATGACAGTGTGGCCTGAAGTGTTTGACTCTTGCACTGGTCATTAAATACAGAAGTGTTCTGGTTTTGCACAACGGTTGATGGTAAAAAAAAATATAACAGGTGCCATTTCAACATAAGGCAGCTTGTCTGTTAGTCGGCAGGGGATCAGTTCTAGAAAAATAGACGTGTGGGCACAGACAGAGCTTGATCTAGGCCAGCAAGCCATGAAGGCGGCGGTTGGAGTCACGCCTCCGAGCGCTCGGCGCGCCCAGCAGCATCCACACGGCCGTCGGACAGCACTGCATCTCGGAGAGGTTGCCACCGACTCCTTCACCATCGGCACTGCTTTTTTTTTTTTTTTTTTTTTAAAGGTAACATTTTGTACACACAGAAAAACAGTGTTTTGAATATCAATGTTTTTCAACAAGTTTATAATGAAAAATGATTTTTGAAGACTTTTTGTTCCACAAAATCAGCCTGTGCTTTTGCAAAGAAAGTGCGGAATAGTGTTTCTAGTTGGTGTAATTTTCGTTGCTGTGTGTAGAAAAAAGAACACAATAAAAGATAAAACCTGTCTAAAGAAAAAAGTCCTCGTCCACCTTCGTGGTAAAGAACAATTTACGAGGGGAACGTAAATTTAGCATTTATGTTTTTAAAGTCAGAACTGAGTACTGTTTGCATGTATGACCAGGTTGCTGGAATAAAAGGAAATTTCCAAAGGGGATAGTGTTTGGGCAAATTATGAGTTAACTGGGATTTTTTTTTGGTTCATTTGGATATGATGAAGATTCCTCATTAGTGGTAAAGAACATCATCAGGCATCCTACTTTCCTGGGGGGGTGGAAAAAAGTTGTGTATTTTCATGATTCACTTAAGAAAATGAAGCGCTTCCCTGTGGATTGCAGACCTCTTCCGTCCACCCTAAGATCTGAACAGCTTCATGTCTCAAGCAAGGAAATACACTTAGCAAAACTTTCACTAGCCGGAGCCTGAAAGGGCTACACTGTACCACTTCTCTGACAGAATGCATGACATCACCTCACGCTAACCCATTGAGAATTCTCATTGAAACACTGCCGTTTTAATCCTTTGTTTCGGCAATTATTTGGTTAACGTGAAAATGATGGGATAACTTATATTTCTTCAAATAATCCTAATTTTAAATGCAGAAATAGAACTAAATAACTGACACACTAAATCGATTTTTATAGACACTGTTGCTTCTGGCAGGTTTTTAAGAGGTTGGTCACTTAATTACTCAGAGTGGGATTCCTGTAGGTTTTGTGTAGTGATGGCATTTCTGCTTGAAACGTTAAGTGGTGGAAGGCAAAAACCAGATTTCCTGTGCAATCGTTCTATGCATAACACCCCTGCTTGTTTGAGAGGGAGTCTGCTAGAACTGAACTGAGTCTTTAAATAAACTTGAAAGGGTACTGATGCCCACTTTGGCAAACCCAAAGTACAGATTTTTAAGTGTTTACTGTAAGTACTGCTAGACAGTAGTTCCTAACTCCAAAACCTATTAGCCTTGGTGGAAAACTTAGAAATGCAGTTATTTAGCCTCAATGAAGATTTCCAGACACTAATTTCAGTTTCCAATGCCTTCTGAAAGTTTCACACCAACTGTTTCATGGCAGATCTTAAATAACTGAAGTCAGACCAGATAAAGAGAACCAAGTTTACATCTCTAGGAACTAGAGATTTTAACCCAAGACAAGTATACAAGCTTTTAGTAACTTGCATAGCTGAGACCTGACTTTTTTAAAAAGCTTTTAGGGCAAGGCAGATTCTTATGTCAGTAATGATTCTAGAAATTAAAAAAAAAAAAAACAAATTATAACTTAGTGGAGAATATTGTTTTTCATCCTTCCAAACCCAGGTGCTATGGTCATTTTAAGTTCATTTAAAGGCGTTTCCAGTGTACCTGACCACATCTGACCTATTTCCAGTGCCAGACTTAATGTTTTAATCTTCCTAAGGGTTACCATAATTTTAACATTTAATTATTACTTTGTGGTGGGGCATCTACCACAATTCAGTAAGGTAACCATCATATATCATTTAAATTAGTTCTATCTTGGATGCAAAAGGATATTTTTTGTTCCAAATTAGGACTTCCCTTGTGTCTTTTCCTGATCTACACTCAAAACATTTTTCTTAGTAATTTAGAAATTGTCTATGTTACATTAAATTTCTTTTTTTTTTTTTTTTTTAGATTTTTATTTACTTATTCATGAGAGACAGAGAGAGAGAGAGAGAGAAGCAGGTTCCCAAGGAGCAGGGAGCCCGATGCGGGACTCGATCCCAGGACCCTGGGATCATGACCTGAGCCGAAGGCAGACGCTTAACCATCTGAGCCACCCAGGCACCCTACATTAAATTTCTTAAGCCTGAAATGGAGGCCACAGACCAGTACTTATTTTTGGAATGGCATGGACATTTAAAATTAAGAGCCCATTTTATAAAATGTAAAACATGTTTAATGCTAAAATTTTATTTATTTTTTAAGATTTTATTTATGTGAGAGAGAGGGGGAAGCAGGCTTCCAGCTGATCAGAGAGCCCCACACAGGACTCCGTCCCAGGACCCCGGGATCACGACCTGAGCCAAAGGCAGATGCTTAACCAACTGAGCCCCAAAGGCTAAATTTTTTTTTTTTTTTTTAAGATTTTATTTTATTTATTTGACAGAGAGAGACACAGCGAGAGAGGGAACACAAGCAGGGGGCAGTGAGAGAGGGAGAAGCAGGCTTCCCGCTGAGCAGGGAGCCCCATGGGGGGCTCAATCCCAGGACCCTGGGATCATGACCTGAGCCGAAGGCAGACGCTTAACGACTGAGCCACCCAGGCGCCCCAAAAGCTAAAATTTTAAATTAAACTTTGCTTTTGAGGTAACAGTAAATTCACATGCAATTGTAAAAACCAATACAGAGATCCCTCTTGTACTTTTCACCCAATTAATCCCAATGGTAACATCTTGCAAAACTACAATATCACCACCAGGATCATGATATTGACAAAGTCAATATGTAGAACATTTCCATATACAACATTCAAACACAAAGACCCCTCCTGATGCCATTTTATAGCCACACTGACTTTGCTCAATCCCCATCCCCTCCTTCCAACCATAATCTGTTCTCCATTTTTATAATTGTTATTTCAATAACATTATGTAATGGGGATCATACAGTATGTAACCTTTTGGGATTAGCTCTTTACAATCGGCATAATCCTCTGGAGATTCATACCACTTGTTGCATCTATCAAGTGCATCTGATCGTTCAGTTTTCAGTGCTGAGTAGTGTTCCATGGTATGGATAGATCACAGTTTAACCCTTTACCTGCTGAAGGCTATCTGGTCAGTTTGGGCTATTATGAATAAAGCTATGTTCATTTGTGTACAGGTTTTTGTGTGAACATAGACTTCATTTCTCTGGGATAAATGCCCAGCAGTGAAATTGCTGAGCCATATGACAGTTGAATGTTTGGTTTTTAAGAAGTTGCCAAACTTTTCCAGAGTGGCTATTCCAGTTTACATTCCCACCAGCAATGTTTGAATGATCCAGTTTCTTCACTTCCTTATCGGCATTTGGTGATGTCACAAATTTTTATTTTAGTTATTGTAATAGGCTTTATTTTATACTTCACCAATGGCTAATGATGTTAAGCACCTTTCCATGTGCTTATTTGGCACCTATATTTCTTCTTCAGTGATGTGTTTCTTCATGTCTTCTCCTCTTTTTCTAATTGGGTTGTTTAGTTTTTCATTGTTGAGCTTTGAGTGTTTTTTT